GGCTATCCGCTCAGGTCCTCGGTGGCCCCGAGGGGGGTCTACGCCCATAGCACCTGAGACTCTCGTCATACCAGGAACGCCGTATTGCCCCGTGTTCCCAGGGTGCATCCGCCCAGAGCACCTGAACGTACGAGCCGCTCCTCCACCCAATCCCGCGACTCCTCCTCCATTCGTGCTCAAACAAGGGGTGGTCCGCCTTTGTAATTGGTCCCGTCCACACCTCTGACTATCTTCAGCGCGAACGTCAAGACGATACCTCAACCACACGCAGAAAACATCCTGGTGGTAGTCCAGCGTTGAGGTGCTCAGGCCCGCCGCGCAGAACGTTGCCGAATTGGAGGGAGAGACCCTGCCTGCAGTAGCAGTTGGGACACAGTGTCCAATGTACAAAACGTTTGTGATTAAACGCACAAGGCTCGACGGCAACACACGACATCAAGACATCTGTGCGCGGTGCGAAAACGAGAACGACATGCTAAAGACAGGGCCGCGCAAATTTCTCTGGAACCTCCATTCCAATCTGAGCGCAGAGCATGATTTGCCCGCAGAATTACGTTCCTGCTAGGCCGCTTCTGGGGGAAACAGAAGGTACCAATACCGCTACTTCCTGGACCCTCCGTGCTGCGTCCTGACTCGGATTTCGAAGCGAACCCAGCGGAGGCGACGGGGGCCTCCCAGGAGGCCCAAAAAGGCAACACCGAGGGAAGGGTAGCGGTATGGAGGCCTCTTCCTACTCTAGACTTCGGCGTGGTACATGCTCGTCTTTCGCCAAACTCTGTGAACCGAGGCTGCGCGCACGCGCGAGCCTTCCGTCCGCTACTGCTGGAGCACGCGCCAGGCTCAACGTCCGCTGCTCCAGCTCTGGCTCTCTATGTGGAGGCAAGGTGGTAGTGGGCAGGGCCCGCTGCCTTGCTTGAGCAGGCTAGCGTGATACCTGGTCCTACTCATGAGAGCCGTTGATCCTCAGAACGTGTGTTAGCGGTTAGCGCAAAACGTGTGCTTGCCCACTGAGGCCCTCCACTACGACGCAGGCGATGTGATGATCGACTGGTTGGGTTGAACGGGGTACACGCACACTGGGCTCACACACGCCCTGAGGATCATCGAACGAAGCGAACCTGTCCGTATCCGCGCCCTCGCGGTCAAGAAGCTGGGACACGATCCCGCGGATGCGCGGCGGCACGGCTGCGCTCCGCGCGGGGCCTCCGCGGAAAGACGCCCCGCGTCCGCGAGGCCGCGGCCCAGGGGCCCGGCCAGCGAGGCCGCGGATACGGATCTGTTCGTCGCCCCAGTCACCCAAGGGGGACGAGAGCAGATCCGCTGAAACCCGGTCACCAGGCCCCCCCCGGAGTAGAAATTGCCAAGTTGTTTCAAGCCTCGTCCAGCCGTGGCGCCGCTGGGCTCCTTTCTCCTTCCCTGTGGCGACGAGGGGCTCCTTTCTCCTTCCCTTCTGTGGACCGAAACCATGTGCTGGGCCCCCTCAGCCCCCCAGCCAATTCCAACCCAACACCCTCCACAGCCTTCTCGCTTGCATGCTGTGACAACCGCTAGGTGCACACACAGTGAACGCTGACACTGCTTTCGCGGGTGAGCTCAGACCACTCGGGTCACAGACGGCAACAATGCAAATGCGATGGCAATGCAATCTGGGTCCGCGTGTTCCAAGACGAAGCCACAACCGGGACATAATCGGACCACAAGAAATCAGGGATCTCTGAGATAGGCGGGTTCTGGAGGAAGTATCAGGCGCGCCGCGGCCGTTCCAGAGCGCCCGAGAACGCTATAGACTCTAAAACATACATGTATTCTCATATACATAAATAGATATGTGTATGTATATACAGGAGCGTTCTGGAACGCTCTGGAGCTGGTTGTGGTCCGACCCAATCCTCCGACGTCGTGTTTATCGATGTAGTGCCCAGACCTCGCGACAACTTCCAAGGAACCATCCTGCTGCCGAGCAACTTGTTGACGGCTCCGATGCCCCGTCAGGCGCCGCTTTGTGGGAGTCGTGTGCTGCAGGGACAGAACACAGTGACAATGACCACGACAGAACGCGCAAGCGTCGGCGTCGATCTTGATCACCATCCATCATGGTCACCGTCGATGCGTGGATAATCCACGCGACTCGGCGACGACCAGCATGGACCATGACCAACATAGGCGTCGACAATCCCGCGACATCTTGGGCATGGTCAGCGTGGTCTTCCCTCGATGTGGCCCTTCGGCCGTGCACAACCTCCCTTTATAGACCCCCACTTTTAGAAAAAGGCCTAGGACCGAAACCGACGGACCTGGACCCGCAAAAATGACGGCCGCGACGCCCTCTCGCGAACCGAAAACGGCCAGTTCGCTAGTCGACGTGTAAGGGTAGGAGGTCTATCAACCTCCGAGCTCTCCCCTCTGCAAGACTTCCCCAAGAGGGCACCACGGGCTGAGACCGCCGAACCGGGCGCTCGGGGTGCGGCGCGGTGACGCAGTCGGGCAGGGCGGTCCGCGACGCCTCGCTGCGGCGCACGCGGCGACGGCCGTGGCGACGGCGGCGAAGACGGCGACGACGGCGGCGGCGACGGCGGCGGCGACAGCGACGGAAACGGCGACGGAGGTGGCGGCGACGACGGCGACACCCTGGCCGCGGCGACGGCGGCGTCAGTGACAATGGCGACGGCGGCGACGGCGGCAACGACGACGGCGATGGCGAAGGAGGCGGCAACGGAAGCGGCGATGGAGGCGGCAACGGCGGAGGCGACAGCGCCGGAAGCAACGACGGCGCGGGCGGGGGCGACGGCGGGGCTGCTTCATACGTGTTGAAATACTCCTGGCAATCATTTACCACAGACGCCAGACTCAGCCAAATTTCGCTCCCACAACAGAACCCAACCGAAAAAACTTCGTTGGACCGCTCTGGAATGAATGACACTCTCTGTGGGAGCACGATGAACCAGCCCAACTGAATGCAGTATATTGCCTGTGCCAGGAGAACCACAAACCATCACGTTAGCCCAATTCGTGTCAGCGGCCAAGCTGGGAAACGCATCCTTGCGCCATTGAAGTAAATGACATATCGGAAGTCTGAGTCCACAATTTGTTAAACACGGGATAGTGCGATTCAACGGAACCTCTGTTGTGCATCTGGGACGCGTCCTCATGGACAGATAGTCATCCATGAGATAAGGATGCGAGCAATTCTTCGATAACTTAGCTCTAGACGGAATAGATGCATGACATGTTGAAATAAGGCGTCATCTGCAAGCCCACGATCCGTTTCGTGGGCCGATGACCATTCGAAAGGACTCATTGCTTTGTTGTGAACTGACTTCCCTAGTAAGATACAAGAAAATTCCACTTGGAGGGGTGAGCCACGCATGGGTAGACAACACCCGCTCATTCATTGCCTCCTGGGCTTCCCTCCACTTGTGAAGTGAAGCGGTTGAGTCTGCACGCAAGCGCGTGGCTTCCCTCAATGCCTGGAGCACATCAGCAAACCTTCACACGTCAATCAGCCCTTGACGAATTATCGCTACACCATCTGCTACGATTGACGTTTGGTTCAGAAGGTACCACGACACAATACTGATGACATCAAGTCCGCCAGCACCCTTGTGGGGCCAGCAGTCTGTGAGGACGAGGCTTCCCAGTTCCCTACACCAGTTGTAGTTCCGAAGCTCTAGTTCCAGATCTTCTCGTCTAGCTCCACTGCTGCAACGTAATCACTCGGCACCAGGGGGGGCGACAAGGGCCCGACTCCCCTTCCCCGATCACGTGCGCTGAATTCCTGGGGAATGCCTGAGAAACACAACATACAGCAGGTTCGCGTTCACGAAGCCACTAGTCTCTCGCAAATCACGACAGGCTCACGCTCCCGAGGTCACAATTACATTAGACTCAAGCTTCCCAAGCCACAACCCATCAACAATTACACCGCCCTCGCGCTTTACAAGCCAGACTCCCTTGTAAAACACAACTAGCTCGCGCTCCCAAAACCACAATCCCTGGCAAATGACACATTTACACCCCATACTCGCACTCCCCAAGCCATAACCCCTCAACAATTCCCCAATCAGTGCTGCACTGAATGGGTGCTAGCAAAAACTGAAAGAGTTGGTGAAATTGTCACGCCGATTTTGGTAGCCGGCTGAGTTCCTGGTTATTAGTTCCGGGCCGATTTCGGTGGGTTCCGGGTTCCTGGGGTCCCGGTAGATCTCCTTATCGATCTCCTTATCGATCCCTTTTCGAACCATCCACTGATTGGGGTTTGTCTCTGGTGCAATTACGCCAGATTCGCGTTCCCGAAGCTACGCCGAGTTGCCAGCAAGCCAGCCGACAAGAGAAGCAACCAACCTACCAACCAAGCGCGGCACCGCAAGCAGTATGAGGGGGGGCCGTCGACAGAGGGCGAATCCCTTCAGGCAGAAGTGCGTACATTTAGGTCGGGCATGTCCCCCTAGAGGCGGATTTTGGGCGAACAATGAGAAAGAGTCCAAAAACATTCACAAAAAAATCAAAAATTGTAGAAAAATCGACCCCATACGATTTTTTGACTATTTTTGGCTGAAGAGGGACGTGCCCGACTTAAGCGCACATACTGCTGCCAAGCCTTTGGAAATCGGCCTGCGTGGCACATCCAAACTTGTGAAAATCGGCCTGCGCTGTGTATCTCCAAATCCATTAGGGATCGAGGCAGCCCCCGCAGACAGCACGAGGCCAAAGTAGGGGCCCCTGTCGCTCATCTTCTGAACGTACCGTCCTAAGTTTGAATAAGCTCAGGCAGCCCTTGAGCCAAAATATCTTGAGGCAACATAGCTACGGAAGACGAGGGTATAGGTGTGATGATTGCGATGCTGGCGCCGGCCATGACGCCGGCAGCGATGGCAAGGATAGAGGCATCCCAGGTGGGGTCGAAGGATCGCGCCGCATCATCGATGCATCTGCAGTACACCGGCGACGTCGGCGCTGCATCGACGCCGTGGGCGCCGAGGACACCATGCTTTACATCGAGCCGCACCTCCAGCCCCATCTGAGCGACGAGAAGGAACGGGTCCTGCGCGAATTGGCATGGCGACCTTACGCCGCGGCTTACGCGGGCCTCCAGCGCAGAACCGCCATATTGGAAACGAGGGCGCGCACGCGCGACCTTACGCGGGCAGCGCGCGCCAGCGTCGGCGCAGGCGACCCCGCTTTCTTCACTCGCTCATCTCGTCTTGGAGCTCCAGGATCGTCTTGGACGCCCGAAATGGGTAATTACGATGAAGATGGGGACAATGCCCAACAACAAATGTTGTCCAACACCGACAGAGGCCGCTGTTGGGCAGGCGGCTTCTAATCTTGAGTGAGCAACATCCGCGGCGGCGCGGACAGCGAGCACTGTTCAAATTGAACAGGAACTGCTGTTGGGCATCGTACCCGTTCTTTTAGGTAGGGCATGTCCCCCTACAGGCGGATTTTGGACGAAAAATGAAAATAGTCATGACATACCCCAAAACAATCCAAAAACAATCGAAACATTGTCCCCTGACTATTTTTTGACTATTTCCAAATGCTCCCCCTGTAGAGGGACACGCCCAAGTCGACTTAACCGTTCGTTCCGTACCCATTTCGATCGTCCCGAATCGTGCCCGCGGCTCCGCTGGCCACCCACGCCCCGGCCCCTCGCCGCCCTCACTGCGCCGCGCTCGCCGCGGGCGGCAGCGCCAGGGGCAGCAGCTCCGCGCGGGCCCAGAGGCCCTCCGCGCCGCGCAGGGGCGCGAAGCGGTTCCGCCGCAGCGCTTCTGCGTCGGCGGCGCTGGCGGGCGCCCTCGCGAAGCTCAGCCGCAGGGAGGCCTCCGCGGCGGCGGCCCCCAGGGCGTACCTGGGGAGCCGCTGCATCTGTGGCGGCGCGCAGAGTGGGGTATAGGGGGGCGGGGGAAGGCTTCTCAGAAGGAGGCTGTTTCTCAGAAGGCGCCAGCCTTGCATCTGCAGGCAAGGCCCGCGCCTTTTCAGATGCAGGGGTGCTTCTGAGAGGCATCCCCACGTCCCCCTACCCCCCTCTGCGCGTGGCCGACAACTTTTCCCCGGGGCTCTCCCAAAGAGTGCGTTCTGAACATGATTTCCCAGGCGAATGCAGCCGTGGCGACGAGGGCCTCCCAGGAGGATCAGAAACATACTTAAAAAACAGGGGAGGGGTAGCGGTCTCTGCACCTTTCCCCAGCCCCCGAATTAACGCGTTTTTCGACATGAACCCCCAGAAGTCTGGCTCTCGGGTACGGGTTTATCCTGGGTCGTTATTTGACGGCCTCAAGCCTGGCAGAAGCTCCCGGAAACCGAAAACAGCTAACAGAACTCCCGGCATGATTTTTGTCACGACGCGAGGGGGCACAGTCAAAACTGAGAGTAAGGACGCCCGATCAAGATGCAAGGGCCTTGGAAAACCCTGTCGGCACTTGACGAGCGGGGCGCGGCCGACGAAAGCGGCCCAGGATGGCCCGAAGGGGAAGGAGGCAAGGTGTACCCTTCGGAAAGGTACCCATCCTTACCATCGGTTTTGACTCTACGGGTTCCCTCCTGTGAGCGCCGGGTCAGGAAGTGCCCAATCTGCGCCTCCAGCTCCCGCCGCGAGGCGCTGCCCTCCTGCCACAGCTCTCGCCGGGCCCGCTCCAGTAGCCTCTCGGCCTCGCGCTCGCGCTGACGGGCGCCGCTCTCGTCCGCTGGCAGCGTCCAGAAGCCGCGGGCGAGGGCGGCGTCCAGAGCCTCCTCGCTGGCAGCAAAGCATGGTGGGTCTGCTTTCCACCACCACCACCATAAGCCGGAGGGGGAGAGGGGTGGAGGATGAGGAGGAGGAGGAAAAAGAAGAGGAGGACCCCTCCCCCTCCTACTCATGGGAGTGGTGGTGGAAAGCAAGCCCACCAAAGAAACGGGTCCCGAAGGAAACGGGCCCTCTAGCTCTCCCGCCGTTTTCCGGCCCAGGGGGCCCCCCCGGGCTCTGACGGCGCCTGCGGCGCCGCCCCGGGCGCGCTCCCCGCGCCAGGGAGGGGAGGTCCAGCGCCGATCCAAGAGATCCGCGCGGATCCGCGCGCGGATCCGCGCGGACCTCTTGATAGGCAAAACGACCCAAACCCTTTTGGTGGAAGGGGACCTAAGTTAGGCGGGCCAGGTACATTGGGGACAGGAGGTCTCATCTGCATGTGTATCGAATCAAACCGCCCAGAATTATTACGGCTAGGTCGGGCGTGTCCCCCGACAGGCGGATCTTGGACGAAAACAAAAAAATCCCCCAACCATGTGCAACAAGAAAAAGAAATACTGAACAAATCGTCCCCAGGCTATTATGTTTGGACATTTTTTTCTTATTCCCACTGTAGAGGAACACGCCCGCCTTATATTCGGGTTGGGGGCTCTTTTCGGGGGCGCGCCAACAACGATTAGCGATCCATGGATTTGGCGCGCGGTCCTCAAATCCATGGATCGGGGGAGGTGCCCTCCCCAGAATAAGGCTGGCGCCGCCTCGCTCAGCGGCGGAAATCCGCGCGACTTCCCAAGGAAACGGGACCCGTCGCTAATCCACGCCCCCTTGATCCATGTTTGCGACCGCCTAATCTTTCCTCCTCACTGAGCTTTTGTTCCTCCTCGAACCTCGGGCGCCTGGGCCGCGCAGGCCCGCCGCGACGCCCCCGGGTGCTGCGCGAGCACCTCCTGCAGGTCGCGCGCGGCGCCGCGCACGCCCGCCGCGGCGCCGCACTGGGCGCGCAGCAGCGCGGAGAGCAGCTCGGCGCCCTCGCCCTGTAGCAGCAGGGCGCACGCCTTAGGTCGGGCATGTCCCCCTACAGGGGGACGTCTTCAACGAGACAAAAAATATCCAAATCATGCTCAAAAAGTTTTAAATATAGTAGTTCAAAAATCGTCCCCAGACTCTTACTGGCCAGAAGACAATAGAAACATCGTCCCCAGACTCTTTTTTGACTACCTTTGAATATGCCTCCTGCAGAGGGACCGGCCCGACTTAGCGCACGCCTCCAGCAGCGCGCGTGTACCGCGCAGCCCCAGCGCCTGCAGCGCCTGCGGCAGCGGCGCCGCCTCCCCCGCGCCGTCGGCCTGCGGCTGCAGCGGCACGAGGGCGCCGCCCACGAAGGCCTGCAGCCGAGCGCTGCCGTCGGCCTCTGGCAACTCGGCCAGCGCGGTCAGCGCCCGCACCGCGCGGTCCGGCCTGCCGGAGAAGAGGTCCCGCGCGCTGTACCTAGGGGGCAGAACATCCACTCCAATAGTATAACCACCCCGACACGCGAAGCCGTTCAGTAAACGCACCCAAAGAAGGAATCAAACAGGACAGGCCTGTTTAGTAAACGCCCAGAGCCGCTCAGTAAACCCCAATTTTCCGGTCCGGGTGGTTCTTCCTCCCTTGAGTACCTGCCCTCCTTGGCGAGCTCCCCGGCGCGCAGGGCGGAGTCGTCCTGCACCGCGTAGAGGCTAGGCCGCCCGTAGAGCTCCAGCAGGCCCTCGCCGGGCCGCAGCTCCAGCGACAGCACCGGGCCCTCCGCGGCCGCCTCGTCGGGCGGGGCGCGCAGCGCGAGCACCCGCCCGCGGCCCGTGGCGGCGGCGGGCGCCCCGACGAGCGCCGCCGCCGACGCCGCGTCCTGGGGAAACCAAGGAATTCCGACACCGCTCGCCTCCCCGCGGATCTCTCCCATGGTGCGTCCTGGCCAGGCTTTCGAAGCGAATCCAGCGGAGGCAGCGAGGGCTTCCCGGGAGACCGACACAAAAGGCGAAAACGAGGCAGCGGCATCGGCCTTCCGCAGGACCCCCGACGTGATGATCTGCTCCCGTGGGACCTGGACCCCCAGAGGGGGCTGAGATCTGCACTCTGGGGCCGGGCCCTCCACCGTTGAGCCCTGCTGTGCACGGCCCCGAGGGAGGCCCACAGCAGGCGGAAACGACATCGGCAAGGGCGGCGGCGTCGGCACCTTCTCCCCCCCCGACGTCCAGGCACACGACCTCGCACGCGGCGGCCAGGGACCCGCCGAGCCGGGCGGTGGCCGCACGGTCGGCCGCCGCGGCGCCGGGCGGTGCGCCGTCGGTGCGCAGGTACAGCGTCGCGCCCCGCCACCGGGCGCCGCCCTCGCGGCAGGCGGCGGCCACCAGGGCGGAGGACACGCGCCGGGGCGGGCCGAAACTCGCGGCGTCCAGCGCCTCCGGGCGGGCGCCCGGCTCGGGCCCTGGGGAGATGCCGAACACCGCCTCTCGCTGTATACAGTCATCGGCCTGACCGATATAAGGAACGATGGAGGAGGAACGAAGTCCCTTTTTCTCCAAGTAAGTTTACGAAGTCCGAAGGAACGGCCGAGCCCCTCATCGACAAAACGAACCCGCGCGTCCAAAGTTTAAAGGAACACCAGGGGGGCTCGCCACCAAAAAGGTAGCGGAACGCACGCACACCAAAGGAACGACCGAGACCCTTTTGAAAAGTGAGCTTTCCTTCTTCAAGCCGCTCACTGTATGTTGCTCCCATCGTACTTCAGGGCCACATCCCAGAAATCCGCAGCCCTCCTGCGGGGCCACCAGGCTGTAGGCCGAAGTTGCTGCTCCCTGCGCCAGTTGCAGTTTCGAGTCTCCAATGTTACACTCCTGCTTTCTGCCTCCTACTGTAAATTGTTTAAGTCCGAGCGAAGGGGGGAGCCCAAAAGGATCCAATTTACCACGCCCGGATCGCGTTCTCTGAATTCATGGGAGGGCGTGGGACACGTGAAAATACATCAGATTCGCGCCCCCGAGGCCATAATCCTTAGTAAATTACCAAATGTTCGTGCCCCCAAGGCCACAAACCTTTGTCATTTACAACAAGTTCGCGCGTCCCTGAGGCAACAGCACGCATACTTTATACAATATTCGCGTCCACGAAGCCATAAACCTTGGCAGATGAAATCGTTTTCGGACTGTCGAGGCCCAGGCAGCCGAAGATGGCTCCAAGACGGCCCAAGAGGGCCCAAAGAGGCCCGAAGAGCGCTCCAAGAGGCCTCCCGAGAAAGAAGAGCCCCGAGAAATCAAAATCGCAGGTTTTGCAAAAAGGTGTTTGAAGGATGTTGAGCTTCTCGCATGCTCAGCTCTCCGACGCTCTAAGACGGCTCAAGAAGTTCCCAAGACCGCCCAAAGACAGCCCAAGACGCCTGAGGGCCCCAAGACGGCCCCAGATGGCTCCAAGATGGTCCAAGAAGCGCTCAAGACGGTCCTAGAGGGCCTCAAGACGGCTCCAACAGGGGCCCAAGAAGGGGACCACGAACCGAACATTCGATACCTGTGCCCCGAGAAGCCCCCAGGAGGCCCCAAGAGGGCGCCGAGAGGCCTCAAGAGACCCCAAGAGGCGCCCAAGAGGCCTGCGAGAGGCCCAGAAGATGCAATGCGAAGCCCCAAGAGGCTCCAAGAGGCGCCCAAACCGCCTCCAATAGGCCCTCTTGGGGCTCCCCACGGCACCCATACACATACACAAGAGGCCTCAGCCGACAACTCAGGCACGGTGGCGGGCTGGGCCGAAGGCCACTAGGATCCGCCGCCGCCGAAGGCCACTAGGATCCGCCACTAGGATCCGGGGTGCCCGGCGTGCCAGACCCTATCGGTTTTGGTTTTGGTTCTTTTTCCAAAAGAACTCTCCCAATGGGTTTCGGCCCGTCCCGCGGGGGTCACGGGATTTTTTCCACGGACCTAAATTCCCAAATGTTCTGCCTAAGACGGCTCCGAGATGGCCTCCAAGATGATCCAAGATCGCCTCCAAGTCCGCCCAAGATGGTCCAAGGCGGCCCAAGAGAGTAGTCCAAGAGGGCCCCAGACGGGCCAAGAGGCCCACCAGAGGCCTTCCCGACGGCCCAAGAGGCCTCCAAGAGGTCCTCCAGGAGGGCCCGAAGAGGCCCCAATCCTTGATTTTCCTTCGGTTTTTTAAGGATTTGGGAATTTGCTTCTTCTCGGCATTCCCAGGGCTCCACACGGCCCAAGAGGCCTCCAAGATCGCCCAAGAGGCTCCCAAGAGGGCCCCATGACGGCCCAAGTGGCCTCCAAGATGGCCCCAAGAGGGCCCCAAGACGGCCCAAGAGGCCTCCAACACGCCCAAGATGGCCTCCAAGACGCCCAAGATGGCCTCCAAGACGGCCCCGAAACGCCCCAAGAGGGCCCCCCGTTGGCCCAGAAAGGGCCCCAAGACGGCTCCCGACGGCGTCAGACGTGCCAGGAACCCACCAAGATGGCCGAAGTTGGCTCGAAAGAGGGCCTCCCGGAAGGCCAGAAGAGGCCCAAGACATATATTTTCCGTAGGATTTTGACGGATTTTGTCATTCCCTTCTTTTTGGCCTTCCGACGGCCCGAGACGGCCCAAGAGCCCCCAGACATCGCCGAAAGATCGCCCAAGAGGCCTCCAAGACGGCCAAGATGACCTTCAAGACGCCCACGTGTTCCCCGAAGGCTTTCCAAACCGATTCGGGGAACACATGGTCCGATGGCTTGGTGGCCAAGATGGCCCTGCAACGCACACGCAGGTGCTGACAATATGCGTGAATCTTTTATTCCAAGACCTTCTCGCTGCAAATGATACGTTATGCTAGCTGGTAGCGTAGGCAGAAGGGGGCCCCCTCAGCCAATATGTTTACGGGCAGAGGGGTGAGAGCATGCAACAGCAATAGCAGGGACCAGCATTATCAGATAAACAGAATGACTATTGCACTCCTGGAGTTCTCTCTGGTCCTGCTCTGAAACTCGGAACGCGGCCTGGCTATACAACGGGTTTATTGCAGCACGGACTCGGATTAGCACGAAATAAAACAGTAACTAAATTCTCTGAGCGGCCAAGGATCGGCAGCTGAAATCAATGAACCGAAACTCGATACGGCATCCGGAATCGGTAATATCTTGGGCAAAACCAAGCGGAGGGGAGTGAAACACGACTCCCGGCACGTACAAGTAAAAAATCAAACTCACAATATCTTGGGCGAAACCAAGCGGATGGGAGTGAAACGCGACTCCCGGCACGTGCAAACAAAAAAGTCAAATCACTTCTTCTGTACTTGGCCATCCCCACCGGTCAGCTCCTCGCAAGCAATCGACTCCACGAGCGAAAGCACTGGATCCGCCAGGAACTTGGTCAGATTCTCCCGAAGCTTCGGATCCTCCTTGGTCATGCCGTCGGCTATCATGTGCGTCGTAGGGATCCATCTGACGTTCTTGACCTTCACCTCGTCACGAATGGAAATCACGTCGATCACAGTACGTTTCTCAGACAAACTCGGGGTGAGCTGGTGGAGGGCATCGTACAGAGACTTGCAGTCGGTAACGGTGATAACCTCGAAGATCGGTGGGTGTCGGCCAGCAGGCCGTCCAGTCAACATCTCGGACAGGAACTTCGACAAGTACGACGCGTAGTCCACTCCCAGGTCCTGCGCGATAGCTTCCCCAGCCAGCGTAGATCTCACCACTCTCGGCGTTCTCTTGGACTTGTGAAACAAGAGAGTACATGACGTGGGTCCGGTGAGTATCACCTCGTCTGCCAGAAAGATGAGGGTGCCGATCTGGGTCTTCAATCCTGGAGCGTTCGCCCATGAGCTGTCTGCAAAACTCACGAAGCAGGCGCGGCTCAAATCGACGCGGACGATCAGGATGCCAGTCTGGGCTGTGCGGTGCGCGTACTCTACGTGCTTCATGGCCATCCGTAGGTCGTTCAGCTCGGGGTCGGTCCTCTGGACAAGGGAAACCGCGGCTGACAGGTCTGGACGTGTGTGTCCGGACAACCACTGGAGCGAACCGACAGCAGACTCCAGATCTTCGCGCTCAGAGCGCGTCAGCTTAGAAGAAGACCGAGTGCTGGACATAACTCCAACCTTCGTGACTGCAATCGCCATAGTGTAGGCCGCTTGATGAACAAACAAACTTCCGCTGTACGGACCTTGACGTAGGCGCTGGTACTCCTCGCCGAGGAAGACGAAGTTGTCCCACTGCCAGCCTCGCCATTTAATAGCCTTCTCGATCGGTGTGAAGTCGAACTTGGGATGGTGTGCCGCAAGAGCATCGTCCACGTGCATACCCACCGCGCAAGCCAACTCATTGTTCGGAAAAAACCACAGGAAGAGAGCTGAATCGAGGCTGTGGAGCTTGCTGCCCAGCGCCAGGAAGGTCGTCACCACGTGCTTGTACCATAGGTACGGCGCCGTCGACTGACCGTGCAGGTTGCCGACCACCTCGTAGAGTGGGGCGGTGAAGACTCCGGCGGCTTGAACTATCGGGTCCTTGGGCGGAATCATGTAGATCGCCTCCTCGCGCTCGCTCTGGGCGCCTCCCTGGAGAAAGGCGCTCTCCGCGTCTCCGGTCCCGACTCGCCAGTCATTCGAGACCGCGATCTGGCAGATCAGCTTCTTGCCAGCGTCGGTCAGCACCGGGGCGTTACGCGGCAACTTCTCCAGGTCGGGGTCGGAGAACCCCAGCAACACCGGGCGAGCCTTGGCCTTCAACGGCGGAAACCCCAAGTTCTTGTCCCGGTAGCACACGCGCGAGCGGATGCACCGTTTGCGGAGATGAGGGTCACGACGAACTTGTTCGGCCTCCTCCTGCGAGCAGGCCCGAACGGACTTCCAGGTGTCCCAGTTCTGGCACTCCTTGCGCAAGGCCTTGACGTACTCCATGAACTGGTCCTCCGGGTACTCTGCGATCTCCCGCCAGGGGATTTCACGATCCAGTTGACGCTGCTCGCGTCTCGACAGGTTGTTCGAGTCCGTCGTGTCGCCCACCTGTGCTGTCGCACAGTCCACGTCCATCTCGCCGTCCCTGAGGTCGGAGAGCTCGTGGTAGGTCATGTACAGGCAGTTTGTCCAGTCGTCGTCCGGCTCGCTGTCGTCGATCGGGTCGTTCTCGAAGTTCTCGATGGGCAAGAGGTGCGCCTCGTAGGCCTCCTGGACCTCCGCCAGGCTCGAGAACACGCGGGTCCTGAGCAGGACTGGCTCCTCGACTCCGTCCCAGCCATCCGGTGTGATGAACTCCATCTCGTCCGACTCGTTGGACACGAAGGCTGCTGGGCTCGGTGAGCCCGGTATGTGAGGAAGCTTTCCTGGTCGGGGTTTCTTCTCCGGTGGTGGTGCGATAACCGTCGAAGGTGCCGAACCGCTCGATGGTGGTCGAGCTGCGGACGACTCGCGGGTATGAGGTGCTGATCTCCTCGGCGTGGGCGTCGCAGAGCGCTCTCGTGTTCTGACTGGTCCGAACTGAGGCGGTGCCGGCCACGGAAAGGGCGCAGCGGGCTCTGGAGCTTCGCCTTCGGCTCGACTCTGGGCTCGACGCCGGGTACCGCTCTGGCCTGTCGGCGTCGGAGACTCCGATGCGTCGGCAAGTTGAGGAAGTTCAGCATTTGGCGCAGCTTCAGGGGCGTCGTCGGCTGACGCGCTCCTGAAGTTCTCTTTGGTAGCGTTGTCTCCCAGAGAGGCCTGTGCGGGCTCCTCCAGGATGGGCTCTAGCGGGGCTGCCGGAAGAGGTCCTGGCAGCACTCGTGCTTGAGGATCTTCTGGTTCGGGTTGTTGTTCAGGAGGGCCCTCGATGATGATGTTCGAAGCGTCGCCCTGGCCGGCCTTCGCCAAGTCCTGCTCGGCCGTCTTGAGCTCCTTGAGGTCCTCCTCGGAAGGGGTCCAGCCCTCGAAACCGACGGCTGGGCGCATGTGTTCGCGGGCCACCTGCACAGTGCGGTGCCCGATCCGCAACCAGGCAGACTCGCCCTCGCCGTAGCCGTTGGTGCCGGAATCCCAGAAACAGAAAATGCCTGGGCGATACCCTGCCACGGGCGTCTTGCCCCGTCGCTTGCGACCATGCTCGCCCCAGGCTGCCACGCGCTGTCCCGAGAGGAAGTCGTACTCCTTGCGGTTGACAGGCTGGCGGAGGATGGAGGTGCGCAGCGCCTCGTCGGCCTCCAGGTCGGCGATCGCCTTGAGCGCCTCAATGCGGCATCTCTCCCCGTAGGCCAGCATCTCATCCTGGGTGCAATTGTGCCAGAACTCGGCGGACGTGGTGTCAGCCAAGAGCTCGGTCGGAAGCGTGGGTACCCGTCCGAAGGCGGCGGCATAGGCGGTGCGGCCTGCTCGGCGCACTGACTGGTTTACGGCGTGGCTCGTCGAGATGATCGCAAGGTCCACGTGCTCTGGCATCGTCGGCAGGATGACGTCGATCACCTTCTCGAAGACTCGGCGCCAGGCGTAGTTGCCGGATTCGGCCAGGCCCAACTGCCAGTGAGCTCCTGGCGGCACGTACCTCACGTCGATTCCCAACGTGTGGCAGTTGTCCATGAACACGGCTTCGAAGGCACCGTCCCGGTCGACAACCAGAATCTGCATGATCCCGAACGGGGTGAGCCAGCACGTCTGGAACTTCTCCCAGACGTCTCCTGGTTCGCGTGAAACAATCCGACACACCACATGTAGTCTCGTAGCTTTGTCCACCAGTCCCAAGAGTGCGTGTGTCGTACCGTCGTGGGTCATGACGTAGAACGAGTCGCCCTTGACTAAGTCGTTGAACAGACCCACCCTTGGAATCTGTGACTCCCGCTGTCGCTGAGGCCGTTTGCGACGAAGGCACGCCGGGCACCTCAGCGCTCTGGCGCACAGCAGCGTAGCCTGCGAGGCGCCTCTCTGAGCCAGGAACTGGAAGAACTCGCTGGGCACCGGATGTCCCAAGTTACAGTGCATACGAGCGACAAGCTGGCGAACTTCACGAGGACACTGCTCCTTTGTCACTCCAACAAAACGTATACCAGCCATACCGCCGGACGCGTCAGGCATCCGAGCGATCGGGACGTCCTGCAGGTCGTCGTCCTCGTCGGGCGGCAGGCTGTTGTTCGGCAGCATCGGGTCGTTCGGGTCCGGGGGAAGCGGCATTCGCTTCTCTATCTGTGACGTGTCAGGCTCCTGCGGGAGGGACTCCTGCTTGGCATAGCCGAAGAAGAAAACGGCTAGGTCCGCGGGCGGCGACAAGGCCAACGTCGGGAAGGCCACGTCAACCAGGTCCTCGGCTTCGATGTGGTAATGCCCCTTCTCGTCCACGTAGCAGTGGCCCCGGTGAGACCACGGCTCCTTGTTGATGGGGAACCTCCTTTGCTTGGCTGACTTCGCGAGCTGAATCATCGTGAGGTCCCACGGGACGAGCTGGCTAATCTGTCTCCAGAGCGTGGATGACTTCGAAAGGTAATGCATGGCCTTGTTCCCGCCTCGGTTGGCGGAACCGCCCACGATCTGTCGGACGCCCTGCATGACCGCCTCCCACCTGGTGGGGTCCTTCTCTGGCGAGGCGAACAGCACCTCGATGGGACCTGCGTGGTTGTAGGCGACCTCCCACTCGGTAGCCGCAACCGGCATGTCGGCGAACCTGCTCGGATTCCTCTGGGCGGCGACCTGCTGGATCGCGTAGAGCATCGCGTGGGCCATCTCGTCGGTGTACTCGCCGCTGGCCTTTGTCCACTTCGAGTTCTCGATCTGATCGCGCAAGTGGCCCCCGGACTCCGGACGAAGTCCTGGGCAGCGGCGGCTCAGAGCTGCAAGCACGGGCGGCGAGTTGGAGAACCAGCGATACGCCTTGCGAATCGGCAGGCCAGTCTTGCCTGTCTTCCCGTACTGGCACCCATGGCCAATAACGGTCTCGCCCAAGGGCAGGAGCGGGGCGAACTGGAGGTCCTTCCAGATCGCTGACGTCGGCGGGTTCTCGAACAAGAAGAACCGGCCATGCTTCACCTGGTACTTGATGGTCCACTTGATCAAGTCAATCAGCCGTCGATCCCGAGCACGAAGTCTCTCAAGCAGCTCGGGATGGTCGACGTAATTCACATTGACGTTGTAGGAGCACCAGAGTGTGCAGGGGAAGCCTACGATCACGTAGAGGGGCTTGTCTTTCTGTATCTGATCTTTCCATCTCTGAGCACCTCGCGTAGTTGACAAGTCCCAGCCGTCCTCTATGTCGGCGCTCGGCGAGGCCCTCAGCTCAAAGCGTGAAGCTAGTCGCGTAGGTCTTGCTGTCCCTGCGCAGCCCTCGATGAGGTCGGTGCCGCACGCCTGGCACTCGCTGTCCAGGTACCGGTGGTCGGGCAACTCAGGAACGGGAATGTCCATGAAGGCCACGTCCGAACAGCACCATTCCGCGTCTCGTAGATCGGCAGCTCGGCGATCGGCATCTTGACTCACGTTGATAAGCGTCTCGCAGGCTGCGGTCGTCTTCTTAGCAATGCCGAGAAGGCGCTTCCAGGCGCCTCTCTTCACCATCTCGGTCCCCGACGCGGGGGAGGCTGGCGCGGAAGCTTGTCCCATCCCTGGTCCGTCTCCTCGCCCCCGGAGGTCCTGTCCATGTTCTCGTCGTACTCCTCGTCCGTCGGAACCGCCTGCTCCGAGGGTGACCTTGGCTCCGCCTTGGTCCGCGTACGACCCTGGCTCGAGCTCGCCGAAGACTTGACCGGGCGTTTCGGCATTGTTGAAGCAGCTGGCCGAGAGCGCGAGGAGGAACCCAGTGACTTTGTCGAGGTAGGTACGCGAAGAGGATCTTCTTTGTCGTCCACGATCCACTTCCCGTTGACCGACTTCCACCGCCGGCCGCACTGGTCGCAGATCAGCCAGTACCCCTTGGCGTAGTACCTCCTCGTTGTCGGATGGGCGCACACGTCCCTCTTCTCGCACAGCTGTGAGTAGTTCTGGGCTTGATCCTCTGGTGCCGGCGGCGGTGGCAGCACGCTCTCCGGAACCTGTGCGGCTCCTCTCGCGATCGCCTTCACTGAGTCCGCCATCGGTGTCAGGTAGCCCATCTCGTGGCCCATCTGTGCGATCGCGCCCATCATCCGGTTCGACATCTCCATGTTCTGCCGGAACTGCTCGCGACTGCGACCGATGATGTGCGACAGGTGGTTCATGATCAACTGCATCAGGTTCGTCCACGCGTTGATCGCCAGGTTCTGCCTCGTCAGCTGAACTGTACGACGAGACGATCGGGCCTCCTGCGACTCCGACTTGACCGACTTCATTCACCGACAGACCGAGGATGCTCTCGAACACGGGCGTGGCGTCGGTCAGGTTACAGCCGTCTGGCACGGAGGGCAGGACTTCGCGAGGCTGACGCAGCCCGCGGTGAGTATATGTAAGAGCACACAGTGCTGCGCGTGAAAACTGCATAGGCTGAGACTCGGCTTGAGCACAACTATCTCCGGAAACACAGGCTGGTGCCTCTGGGATCCACTGGGGCTCCGGGATGATGACGTCCGAGGGGGTGAACTTCCAGGCCTCGGGCTCCCTTGGGAACCCCACATCCTTCAACCAAGAGTCGACTCTCAGAAGCAAGTGGCCATTCGGGGCAATCTTCAAGGGCACGTCGCACAGGTTGATCTTGGTGAAATGAGCCCTTTCCCCCAAGGTGTCCAGCTGGAGGCCCAAGAGCTTCCACATCGGTAACGATCCCAAGAAAGGCAACTTAGGGTTCACGTCCAAGACTGAGGTACGGCAAACCAGGGGCACCACATGTTCAAGACATATCGGGAAATACACCACAGATTTGCTCACCGCACGACTGACTCCAAACCGAAACCTCTCTTGCTCCTCAGCTTCCCAGAAACTCAATCCCAGGTAGGCGATATGTTCCAGAAACTTTCCCAAACACTCGTAGCCCACAACGTTGCGCTGGCAACCTGTGTCGATGACAATGTAGAAACCCTGGGAATCCTCGAGGAAGCAAACGTCCAAGGGCGTCCGGACATGCCAGATGACGTCGACCTGATGCGATGATTTTGTCCCGCTTCTCGCCGCCTGAGCTCCGCGAGAATCCACGGAAAACTGACGCACTTCTGGCGTTGCCTGAAATCGAACGTGAGAGGCCCCCTTGTCGCTGGTGGCGACCCTGCTCTTGAAGGCGGCCACGCGCTGCTGCAGCTCGTCGGGCGAGAGGTGCGTGACTAAGGCCTCGTGCTCTACTGCATCGGCGGCGTACTCCTCATCGTCTTCATCGGCGGTTCGTCCTGGTCGATCGAGGCATCATGAACGGCGCGAGCTCGGTCGCGTTTATCCTTGTAGCCGGTCCTCGAAGACGTCTGGCGAAACCCTGGCCTCTGAGATGCCGCCGGTGCTCTTGAATCTCCGGATCGGTCTCCCGTAAATGTTCCACGAATGCTTCCTGAAAAAGACGTGCCGGCCGGCGGCGTCGCAGTGCCTCTCTGTGGCGGTGCTGACGATGTCTGCGGCGGCCTGCCAGGCGGCGCTGGGGGCGGCCGGCCCGCTGGGGCGGTGGCACCCCCAGAGGGCGCTGACCGCGGTGGCGGGCGTCGGTCTCCAGGCTTCGGCGGTGAGGACCTTCCGGTCCACCCGCGGCCCAAGGTCAGCTTCTTCAACTTGTCGCTGGTGACGGTCAAAGCGTCCGCCACCTCCTGCATGACCTGGATACTGTCAACCTCCTCGGCGTAAGCCTCATTGACTTCTGCTTGATCGGGGTCATCTTCATCTTCGTTTTCCTCAGCCTCGTCCTCGGGAATAATGTCGGCCTCGCTGACGTGGGGCGGCTTCGGCGGCGGTCGAGGAGCTCGACTCGGTGGCTGTCGATCTCGTCCTTTGCCGCCTCCTTTGTCGTGATCTCGACCAGCCGACCTGCGTTCAGGAGTGGCCGCCTCACCGAGTCGCTTACGTGCCATCCGTCGTACTGGTGCGACCCAGTTCGGGGCGGTGGACGGCCACTGCACACTCATAGCCTGAACGAGGCGGTCGAAGTCATACTCATTGCCCGTGGCGAGGAGAAGGTTGCGCCGGACCTCCGGCGATAAACATGAACTACGCAACAACTTGAATGCTCGAAATTGTCCTTGCTGAGCTGGAAGCTCTGCCCGCTTGAGCCGCATCTCGAGATCCTTGAAGTGCGCGACGTATGCGGCCAACAGCTCACCGGGCAGACGCTCCACTTCTTCGTATTCTTCCATGAGGTCTCCAACCTGTAGGATCTGCTGTTCGTCAAACACGGCGAGGGAGTTGATCACCAAATCAATACCATCCTGTGAATACAACCGGGTCCATTCCAAGGACTCGATCATCTCTGCGCCTTCGCCCGTGATGACGTCTGAAAGGTCCAGGGCCAGTTCGGCCATCGGCTTGTAGTGTCGCGCCCTGGCCTTCCACATGTGGACTTTCCTAACCCACTTCTGGTAGTATCTCGGCTGCTTGTATATATTCTGAAACCTGGCCTCGAGTGGAGGTGGGGCTGGGCACGGTCCTCCGCGCCACTTCTTTCGATCACCGCGGGTGCGTCGAAACTCCGCCGAACTCGGTGGAATCTCCGACTCCTCGTCGTCATCCTCGGCCCAGTCCTCTCCAGCCCACTCGTCGGCCCATTCCTCTTCGTAGGTCTCGTCGTCGGGCACAGACGCTGCCGCTGCCGCGGCTCCATCTCGAGGGTGCTTGCCTCGGTATCGACGATCTCCGTACTTCTTCGGTGCGGCGGCACCACGAGAACCAGCGGCAGCAGCAGGCCTCCGGTCAGCCATCGTGCGAGATGTGATATCCGTCGGAATCTGTCCGACTGCACGGGAGTGTCCGGGAGGTAACTGTCTGATGCCGAAAGGGTTCTCCCTGCGAGGGAGCTCGGAATACACGCTCCGCTGCCAATGCAACGCACACGCAGGTGCTGACAATATGCGTGAATCTTTTATTCCAAGACCTTCTCGCTGCAAATGATACGTTATGCTAGCTGGTAGCGTAGGCAGAAGGGGGCCCCCTCAGCCAATATGTTTACGGGCAGAGGGGTGAGAGCATGCAACAGCAATAGCAGGGACCAGCATTATCAGATAAACAGAATGACTATTGCAGGCCCAAGATGGCCTCGAAGATGGTCCAAGATGGCCTCCAAGTCCGCCCAAGATGGTCCAAGACTGCCCAAGAGAGTCCAAATCTTTGATGTTCCTTAGGTTTTTGAAGGGTTTTGGAATGTGCTTCTTCTCGGCATTCCGACGGCCCAAGACGGCCCAAGAGGCACCCAAGAGGCCCCCAAGAGGGCCCCATGACGGCCCAAGTGGCCTCCAAGATGGCCCCAAGAGGGCCCCAAGACGGCCCAAGAGGCCTCCAACACGCCCAAGATGGCCTCCAAGACGCCCAAGATGGCCTCCAAAACGGCCCCGAAGCGCCCCAAGAGGGTCCCCCGTGGGCCCAGAAAGGCTCCCAAGACGGCTCCCGACGGCGTCAGACGTGCCAGGAACCCACCAAGATGGCCGAAGTTGGCTCGAAGCTGGCCCAAAAGGACCAAAGAAACCCGCAAGAGGGCCTCCCGGAAGGCCAGAAGAGGCCCAAAACATTGATTTTCCGTAGGATTTTGACGGATTTTGTCATTTCCTTCTTTTTGGCCTTCCGACGGCCCGAGACGGCCCAAGAGCCCCCAGAGATCGCCGAAAGATCGCCCAAGAGGCCTCCAAGACGGCCAAGATGACCTTCAAGATGCCCACGTGTTCCCCGAAGGCTTTCCAAACCGATTCGGGGAACACATGGTCCGATGGCTTGGCAGGTCTGGCCTTCACGTTCGGCCACATAAGCGCTTCCACACAGGCAGGGGGCGGCGGTGATTCGCCGTAGGCGTCTTAGATCCGCCGCCCCCTGTCGATTCTTCGCAGGGGTGCCTGGCGTGCTAGACTCTCTCGGTTTTGGTTTGGGTTCTTTTTCCAAAAGACCTCCCCCTGGGGCTCCGGCACGTCCCGCCGGCCACCCGGAAACTTCATCAGTCAATGCCTGTTTCGCCCCAAGATGGTCCCAAGATAGTCAAGATGGCGCAGGATGGCCTCCAAGACGCCTCCAAGACGGCCAAGATGGCCTCCAAGACGGCCAAGATGGCCCCAAGATGCCTCCCAGACGGCCCGAGACGGCCCAAGAGGCCCCCCATAGGCCTCCCAGACGGCCCAAGAGGCTTCCAAGAGGTCCTCCAGGAAGGCCCGAAGAGGCCAAAATCAGTGGGTGTCCTAAGGTTTTTGAAGGGTTTTGGAATGTGCTTCTTCTCTGCATTCCGACGGCTCAAGACGGCCCAAGAGGCCCCCAAGATCGCCCAAGAGGCCCCCAAAAGGCCCCATGACGGCCCAGGTGGCCTCCAAGATGGCCCCAAGAGGGCCCCAAGACGGCCCAAGAGGCCTCCAACACGCCCAGGATGGCCTCCAAGACGCCCAAGATGGCATCTAAAACGGCCCCGAAGCGCCCCAAGAGGGTCCCCCGTTGGCCCAGAAAGGCGCCCAAGACGGCTCCCGACGGCGTCAGACGTGCCAGGA